CATTCTTGATGGTTTAGAGTAAGTGAAAGAGAAAAACCAAGGGGGACTTTTAGACTTTTATTGTAAATAACTGAGCAGAAGGTGGTGCCAACTAAAATGAAAAAGACTACTAGTTGCTTCTCATTGTTCTTCCTTTTCAAAGTTTTCCTGATTATCTTTTATTTTTCTATATTAACTTTAGTATCAAATTACATTCTTCCAAAAAAAGTCCATTTTTATTGGACTTTTATTGCATTTGTAATGAACGTAGATAGAATTCTAATCTTAATGTTATTAACTATTTCTATCCAAGAACATAGTTTATCTTTCTAGTTCCTTGGTCTTATGTATATCTTTTGGTGTTATTCTGGAGATTTTCTTTTACTACATAGATTTTGCACATTTTTTATTAAGCTTATTTTAAGTATTTTCTCTTTTGTACAACTATTATAGTGAGGCCTGTTCTTACAGTATATTTTATAAGATGTTGTATATGTAAGCTATTTACTTCTGTATATTAGTTTTTTACTTGATTAATTTATAGAATTCTGTCAGTGTTTCTCATAGTAGTCTAGTTTTTTAGATTTATCAAATACATTTTAACTTTTATAGCTTTTTCTAGTTTCATTTGTTTATTGTTCTTTAGCTTCTGAAGTTAAAAGATTCATTTACTTATTTCAGTTTTATTGATATAATAATTTGTCTACAAATTTTAAGCATTGCTTTATGTTTATTTTATAGGATGTAATATGAATTGTTTTTATTATAAATCTTTCTAAAAAATTTGCAATGTCATTTTGTTATATTTTGACCCAAGAACTGTTTAAAATAGAAATTTTAACATCTTCCATTAGAAGAGTCTCTTTATGAAGGGTCTTTTTTTACCCCAATTTTATCAATAATTATAATTGTACTGATTTATAATTAAATAAAATTATAGTCTAATTATCTACTTTTTGATATTAATTAAAATTTTCTCTGTAACCAAGTTTATACCATTTAAAAAATGTCCTTTGGGCACATGAGAAGAAAATGTATTATTTATTTTCTGAGTTTGATATATTATAGTCATATAGATATATCATTAATTAATATATTATAGTCATATAGATATATCATTAATTAAGTTATTGACATTTTCTGTATTCCTGATCTGTCATGAACTGAGAAAGGTATTCAAAAATAAACAAAAACTACATTTTGTTTCTATATATAGCTCCTGTAATTTCTGCTTATAGAAATTCTATTTATTTTTGTTACTTTGTATTTATTATTGTTCTATCTTTATTTGAATGACTCTTTTACTTTATAATATGTACTTTATAATGTATTTGTTTTATTTAGTTCTGAATTTTTGTTTGACAAAAAAAAATTCTTTTTTTTGCATTTTCCTGCTACATGTTTGCTTTCAACATTTTTGAATTCTGAATAACTTTGTTTTATGTGTATAATATATATAGTAGAGAATTAGCAAAGCATACAATTAGATTTCGCTTTGTAAGTCAATTTGAAAATATTGTCCTTTTAAATAAATAATTTAAGGAAATTTATATTTGTTTATATGATAAATATATATGGTAAAACTATCATATTATTTTATGTTCTGTTTGTTGGTTTTATTTTTTACAGTTTTTTTCTCATATGTGCCTTTAAAAATATATTTAAAAAGGTTTTGGTTACCTTAATATTTATAACATTATATAATACTCTTAATTCTCTATTTACTTACAGGAAAGCTGCTGATAATCTAGTAAAATAAATAAATGATAAAATCTTTTTATTTCCTCCCCGATCCCATTTTTTTTGTCTCCAACCTGGTATTTGCCAGTAAATACTCTTTGAAAAATAAATATTCCTATACTTTTATTACCTGTTTTGTCAGTATTTAAACATTTGTTGATTCTACTATTACTAAATATTAGGCAATCAACAAACTTTCTCCTCTTTGGCCTTTCTTATTCTAATTTTGTTAGTTGCATTATTTCTGCATGGTAAAAGCAAGGAACATTTATATTTGTCTATGTTTTAGTCTGTTTTGTTCTGCAATAGCAGAATACGACAGACTGCGTAATTTATAAATAATAGGAATTTATTTCTGAACAGTTCTGGAGGTTGAAAGTTCACGATCAAGGTGCCAGCATCTGGTGAGGTTTCTTACTGCACCGTCTCTTGGTGGAAGGCAGAACAGCAAGAGAGGGCAAGAGCAAGACAAAAGTAGACTGAACATGTTCATTTATAAGGAGCCCACTCCTGCAATAACAGCATGAATTCACTCATGATGGCAGAGCTTTGGTGTCCTAATCACCTCTTAAAGGTTCTATCTCTTAATATTGTTACAATTGCAATTCCATTTCAGCATGAGTTTGGGAGAAGACAAACATTCAAACCACAGTGGTTTGTCACCCCAATCCTCACACTTTTAATTTTCTTGGTCCTATAATAATATATAGTCAAAACTTTCAACAGTCCTTTTGCTAGTTTCCTCAGATAATCTTTGATTAAGTAAACTTTATCTTTGAGCCTGTTCCTTAGGATAGACTTATGGGAACAATATTTCTTATGTTTTCAAAATTGTTTGCAACTTTTAATCTTGGAGGCAGATTTGACTGGCTATAAAAATCCTTTACTCCCATTTGTTTACATGAATCTCTTGTAGATACACAATGAGATACCACCATCTCACACCAGTCAGAATGGCTATTATTAAAAGTGAAAAAATAACAGATGCTGGTGAGGTTATGGAGAAAAAAGAATGTTTATACACTGTTAGTGGGAGCATAAATTAGTTCAACCATTGTGGAAAGCAGCATGACATCTCCTCAGAGGCCGAAAAACAGAACTATCGTTTGACACAGCAATCTTATTACTGGGCATACACCCAAAGGAATATAAATTGTTCTATCATAGACACATGCACACATTTATTGCAGCACTATTCACAGTCACTAAGACATGGAATCAACCTAAATGCTCATTAATGGTAGACTAGATAAAATATGTGTGTGTGTGTGTGTTTATCTGCACATACCACTTACATACATGCATGTGCGCACACATACACACACACACACACATACACCATGGAATACTATGCAGCCATGAAAGAATGAGATTGTATACTTTACAAGAACATGGATGGAGCTGTAGGCCATTATCTTCAGTAAATTAACTAATGCAGCAACAGAAATGAAATACTGCATGCTCTCACTTACAAGTGAGAGCTAAATGATGAGAGCAAATGGACGGGAGAGGGGAACAACAGACACTGAGGCTTACTGGTGAGTGCAGGTTAGGAGGAGGGAGGGAGTTAGAAAAACTAGTTAATGGGTACTAGGCTTCATACCTAGGTGATAAAATAATCTATACAATAAACCCTCAAGACATGAGCTTACTTATATTGAAAACCTGCACAGATACTCCTGAACTTAAAATAAAAGTTAAAAGTAAATAAATATTGGGAGGCCGAGGTGGGTGGATCACGAGGTCAAGAGATCGAGACCATCCTGGTCAATATGGTGAAACCCCGTCTCTACTAAAAATACAAAAAATTAGCTGGGCATGGTGGCGCATGCCTGTAATCCCAGCTACTCAGGAGGCTGAGGCAGGAGAATTGTCTGAACCCAGGAGGCGGAGGTTGCGGTGAGCCAAGATCGCACCATTGCACTCCAGCGCCTGGGTAACAAAAGCGAAACTCCGTCTCAAAAAAAAATAAAAAGTAAATAAATAAATACAAATTTTGGTTTAATGTTTGGTCATAATGTTCAACATTTTTTGTTGAGTTTATTGGTACATTGGTAAGTGCTTAATTTTTTTTTTTGCCTTTGTTTTGCCTTTTGTCTTGGCTCTGACACTTTTTAAATGGATCTTTTTATTGAATTTTTTAAAATTTGCATATGGTAAAATTTATTCATTTTGGTGTGCATTTCATTAATTTAGACAAATGCATGTAGTCATCTATTAAATTAACTAGTTTAACACCACTGGATTCAGAACAGCTTCATCACTTCCCACATTCCCCTGGGTTTGCTCTTGCATAATATCCTTTTATTAATGCTGTGTCACATCTACTTTTATTACTCTTCATTGAATGAGATGGATGTTCTTAGATCTGCTATTTACAGGATACTTCTGCTGGGGGTTAGAGGAGGTCCTGTGCAGCCTTCTGACTCCTTTATTACCTTCGCAAAGTCAGACTGCTTCCTTCTAAAATAGCCCCTGTATGTGAGTGTGTTACCACCCACTCTGAACTATACCAGGTCCCGAAGGCTCTTCTGCCTTTATTTCTGTTCTCACTGCCCCAGTTACGAACGGAGGGATGAACTTTTCACAGAAGTGTAATTTTGCAGCCAATTTCAGAGATCTGCCGCTGCCGGCCATGTTGTCATTGTCTGCATTTCTTTGCTGCCTTTCTCCCTGTATAGTATCTACTAATTGCTGCTTTTTGTTACTCTTAACATGCTTTTGGATTCTAGAAAAGAGGTCTTCCTGTTTTTCTAGAAATGGAGAATGAAGATCATGTAACTGTTGTTAGTTTTGTTAACTGTGTAGCATTTGCATGTCTTCCAGGGGAAGACAAGAGGCAGTCTTGGCCATATTCTTACCAGAAGTCCTTCTCTTGACTGCACTTTATCACCAACTTTCCCTCACTCCCCTTCATGGCTCACACTGTAAATATTGGAATCTCTTGCCTCTCTTGTTCACTCATCACTCCCTTAAGGTTTTCATATAAAAACTTCCTGTGATGTACCATAACGTATGACAAAAAAAAATTGCTATTTTTTAAATAGCTGCTTTCAAAGTTGGTTAGATTTTTTGCTCACTTATCTTGTTGCTTTCGGTATTTGTTTGCCTGCCATTATGAAGATGAGTATCCTGTATACTAACGTATTAAGTGATTGATTTAGTCATGTCAAAGTAGCTTTTCTACTCTTAGGAAATAAGTGAAACTCTTCTAGATTTAGAGCATCTGTAAAATTTTTAAAAGTTCAGTAATCATTAATAGAAATTCTTCCGTATTCCAGGTGATGCAACTGTGACAATAGCTCACAGATATACCCCCAAAGAACAGCTGAAGACTCATACACAACTGGCAGATGTTATCATAGTTGCTGCAGGTAAGTCCTTCCTGTCTGTTATTTGTTGGAATGTCATCAGCAGAGTAATTCCTGCCCTAACTGCTGACGTGTTTGAAAGCTTTTTGAGAGAGTGAGGTGTATGTATGACTAACTTCTGTTGATTGGATTCTGTCTCTTGACAATCATTTTATCAGTCTATTGTGCCTATGTTAGCATTAGGTACTTCATTATGGAAAACCCAGACAGCTTTTGGGATGACAGATGAAGCAAAAGAACTATGTGCAGTTTCCTAATTGCTTTGACAAACATGGTTTAACAGCATTTACAGAAAAAGGTTTGGTGCAAGTAAATTATACATTGTAGCTATGGGGAACAATAAAACTTGTACATTCAAGGTGTATTAAGAAACAGACTGGGAGGCCGAGGCGGGTGGATCACGAGGTCAAGAGATCGAGACCATCCTGGTCAACATGGTGAAACCCTGTCTCTACCAAAAATACAAAAAATTAGCTGGGCATGGTGGCGCGTGCCTGTAATCCCAGCTACTCGGGAGGCTGAGGCGGGAGAATTGCTTGAACCCAGGAGGCGGAGGTTGCGGTGAGCGGAGATTGTGCCATTGCACTCCAGCCTGGGTAAAAAGAGTGAAACTCCGTCTCAAAAAACAAAAAAGAAACATAGAAAATGTTCAGGTGAGGGGAAAAGATAGTCTAGTACTATGCTGCTCTAGACACAGCCAGGCTGAAGAATTATATTCTGAAGTCGAGACTTCAGGGAAAATGTTGTTGGACGAGACCATGTCCAAAGGAGATCATCTAGGATGAAAATGTTTCAAAAAAATATGACATAGGAAGTTTGGTCTGATGAACTGAGGATGTTTGGTCTGGAAGAAAGAATGACCTAAAGAGATACAACAGCTTTTTAATTTTTTTTTTAACAACACAACAACAAAAATCAAGCCCAAACTTTTATGATAATAAAAGCTGCCTCAAAGTCACCCATTCTTGAGATAGTAAGTTCCTTATTATTACAGTAATTAGCAAAACAGATAAAAACCTAAGGGTGATTTCATAGAGCATTATATATCATTATTTATTGGCTTTTGCTCCATTTTGGATGACAAAAATTCATCTCTTCTTTCAACATTATCGGAATATTTTCATAAATTAAACAACATAACTAAAATGCATGTAAACAGTTGTAATTATTTTGAACATATGTTCTATGAGGAAGGAATTACATTCTTTCTTCACTCCCTACCATTTAGGACCATTGTAGAGAATGTCTATGTACTGAGTACTAAGTTGGTTTTTAGTATTTCCCTCAATGATGAGACTCTTTAATTCTCTATTTTAATTTATAAAAGAAAGCTTTATGAAATGCAATATGTATATGTTTATACATATATTTCATAAGATTAAATTTATTTAAATTTATTTGTGTTTTTCTACAGAGTAAGTTGACAAGAAAGATATTTTAGAACATAGAAAAGGCTGGAATATGGGGCTTGTGTATGGATAATTCACTTACAGATATTTGAGAGTTTGCTGTGTATTCTGATTTTAATTAAATATGAGTACTTTGAGTAGCAAAGACATTTGCTTTTCAAATGTACTAAATTCATGCATTCATTCAATAAATATTGGACTTTCCTATGCAGCAGTATCTGTTTTAAATTTTAGGAATATAGCAATGGATACAAATGATGAAATGCCAGCCCTCGTAGAACTTTTATCTTGGTGGAAGAGAGAGCAAATAAAAAGTAAAATATAATGTCAGATAGTAATAAGTGCTATAATGAAATTGGTTGAAGGAATAATGTTTTCGGCATATTGTTTTAGATTGATTGGCGAAGACCCTTCTTGGGAGGTGACCTTTTGAGTAGAGTTCTTGTCCTAGCCATTCTCCATTTGCCCACCAGCCCCAATCTCTGCCCTTCCCTGTCCTGGTCTGGCCCTGAGAGGCTAATGAGGATGGCCTCACCTGTGTTCCTCCGCCACTGGCTCCCGTCAAGGTTTGGCACCAGTAGGATATCTGAAGGAGAAGAGAAAGGTCAAGTCATGGTGTTTCTTCTCTACTCTCTTCACTTCTATTCTCTTTCTGTTTCCTCGTTCATGGATAGCTTTTGTTCAGCATCCTTTCTCTGATAGCTGATGCTGTCATTGGGCTGCAGTAACATCGTTTCCTCCCTTACCCCTACAGACTTAGGAATGGTACAAGCTTTCTCCAGTTTCTAATCTCTAAGAGTTGTAGCAGCCTTTGTTTTTCTCTTACCCTGAATATATCTCTGTAAAAATTATTTCATTACTGTATGGGGTGGATTCTGCTTCCCATGGAGACACTGACAGAAGCAGATCTGTATGAAGTAAAGGCACAAATCAAGAACCATTCCTGGAGGAAGAGCATTCCAAGCAGAGGGAACAGCAGATACCAAAGTCCTTAGGCAGGAGCATGCTTCATGTGTTCCAGAACACAGGAATTTGGGGGTTTATTATATTACTCTGATTTTAATTAAATATTAATAAATTATGAAGATACTAGTAGGAAATGTTGGTGGGAAGGTAGCCAGGGTTAGCTCATATAGGACGTTGTTGGCCATGGTGAGGATTTTGGTATAAGCCAAGAATGGCTGACAGCAGGAGATCAAATGATCTGACTTATGCTTTAAAGGAGTGGTCATACCTTTAAAAACATGTCAGACCTTACATCTGAAGTTGTGTCAAGAACTGATTCTAGAGGTGCAAAAGCAGAAACAGAGAGAAAAGGTATTGCAATTTCATTTCATGGATCTAGATTTTGCTCTAATTTGTTTTATATTTGGATACACAGTTTCAATCAAATTTAATAAAATATCTGACTCTTCTGTAGGCCTTTTTCTGGAATCTAGACTATATACATGACTCCAGGGATAACAGTTGGCTCCTCATAGAGTAAAAGCAGCAATGGTTTTTTTTTTTTCCCTAAAGAAAGTAATCAGTAAGCTGGCAAAGATAACCATACCACATTTACATTTCCTTTTTTTTCTGAGAAATTATATTTGGGTGATACCAAATGAAAATTGATGGAAGTCAGGGATGTTTAGAGACTCAGTAAACTTTTTCAGACCACAGATCAACATTAAGTGAAATACTGCTGCAGCCACTGATACCTTCATGGCAGATAAATACTATACTGACTTCTTTTTATAGACAGTTGTGTTCACACACAAGACTCAGAATTTGTTAAGTAAAGAGGAATTTGAATGCTCATCTTTGTCCATTTCTAAACTTAGGCAGAATGAACTAATGGTAACAACTTGTACAGAATATTTGGCAGTTGCTCTTAGGTACCGTTTGTCAAATGTAACATTGAATTTTATTATAGTGAAGGAAAATCTCTCAGCATGCCTTCCTACTCGTGGTTTGATTTGTTATTATGACAAATAGCACACGGGTGCTCTCAATCCACTTGCAAGAAACACTGATATTCTCTTGTGACTAAGTTTAACCTTATACCATAATGCCGGCCAACACTGTTGTCATCCTTGAGTTTATCCTCTGGCTTCCTTTGTAAAGGCCTAAATCAGCATCGAGTACAGATATTTAAAAAGAAGACAGGAAGGAAAAAGAAAAGGAAAATACAAGAAAAGAAGGACAAGGAAGACTCAAACCTATATAAAACAAACAGGATAGGAGCCGGCAGGTACTCAAGCCTCTAGGTGTGGTGTGTGTTGAGGCTCTCCCACAACTATCCCGCTGAGGGTATTCTCTTACCACCAGAGGGCGCCAGAGGTGAACAGCTACTTCAAATGTAGCCTAGTTGGCCATAAACCATCCTACTCCTAGTTAGAAGCTATTTAAACAAAGACAGTGGGAACGAATCCTGTTCCTTGCTTTTTTGTTTAACCTTTAATGGCACTTCCTAAATACAAAAGTATGTTGAATGCTGGAAGACAGATTCGTATATAGTTCTACAGTGTTCTTGAAGAAATAAATATTTAGCAAATGGGAAATTTAAGGGAAGAAAATTAAAAATGTATAAGAAATAACTAAAGATTGCTCCATTTCCAGCTAATTAATAATCACCTGGAGCAGTTAAGGATAAAACATGTAGATATTTATAAATTATAGGGAAAAAATGAGCAAATATAAAAAGAAATTCCATATAACCAGGCAGAAGGAATAAAGTATTACCAAAATGACCATATCATGCATTGTGTGGGAAACAAACAAATGTGAACAGTGGGTATTTAAAAAGGAGATAGTGATCTAATGGCAGAGGTAGCCAGAACGGGGAGGGCTGGATCACTTTCCGGATGAAAATGTCAGCATATATGGAAACAACCTCATCCAGGTGAACTCAGTAGAAGGAGGCGGAGTGTGTGATATATATCAGAAATAGTGATAATCAATGAAGAATGTGATGATGAAATCTTGACACGAGCTTGAAAAAAGTAAAAGAGAAAATCGTTGTATGAAGATCCTGAGACAGCAATAGTATTAGCTTATGTTAAAATTAATGTTATCCCTCCAGTTTCTCCCAGTTCTAATCCTACAGGCTTAACTATATATCACTTACCTTTTAAAAGCTGCCCCCCAAAATTAAGATTTAGACTCAAAAGCTCAGATCTGCAGAATCAGACCCTGTCACACTATGCAAATAGAAGTCAGAAACTTCAAGTCCCTACTTAAAGCCACATCTTTGAGTTCACAGGGAGAATCACCAAGCTTTTAAGGTACTTTAATGTTCCGTGGTTACAGCACTTAGTACCTGTTTGTAGTTGTTATCTTCACTAGACTATGGCAGGGAAAGGCCTGAGGTTTTTTCTGTTTGTTTTTTTAAGCTTGCTAGGTAAATGCTTAGAATGATATCTAACACATAGTGAGTGTCTAATAAATGTGAGCTCTGTTGATTTTGAGATTATAACTAGTACAAAGACTTTTTCAAATTGATACATATTTAGCAGACATATTTGAAATAATCTATTTTGTTAAAGATGGAATCATTATTCTAGTTGTTGGTTGATTTACAGTGTAGCATTATTTTTGGGAACTACCAAATGT